TCAAAATAACTTTCATGTATGTAATTAATATTGGATATATAATTTCTCTCCATTAGCCCAAATTAAATATCAAAGTAAGAAATTTGTAGAAAATTCTACGAGTTGTGGAGAAGAACTATGAAAAAAGAATTTTTTTTAGAATTATCATAATAAGTTTTTTAGGATAAAGATAATTTTAGAATATGTTAGAATTAATATAAATGGATAGTGTTTGGAGTATAATCTAAATAGTAAAACTTAAGTTACAACTAGTATAAATAAGAATGTGTTGGTGACATTTGTAACCAATCTAAGAAGAACTCATATAAGAGTGTTTACATATAAACTATTTACATATAAACTAATATTGTATTAACAACTTTTCTAATAATAAAAACAATTGGCGTGTAATTCATAATTGTCGCATTCCCAATTTAGTCACACGAAAGAATATTAGGTAATTATCCCAACAACTAGTAATTGAGAAAAAGGTTGTCTTATAACATCGATATCTCGTACAAATAAAGATGAAAACTACTATTACCGTTGAAGAAGACATGTTCAAACTCACATCATACAACTATTCTTATCGAAAACCTATGATGGAAGATCAACTTTTACTACAAGGATTTGTATGAACACATCATCACGAAGAACAAGCTAAAAAAAAAGGATTTTAAGGCATGGAAGATTCGAAATCGAAAAGAGATCCATCGATATATTTATGAATTACAACAACCGTTTTTATATTCAAAATCTTCCATGCCTTATCATTCTTTCTTTATATGGCTTGTTCTTCGTGATGATGGGTTCATGCAAATCCTTGCAGTAAAGATGATCTTCTATCATCGATTTTCAGTAAGAATAATATTTTATCTACATCCAGACATGATCCTGAATCCAAACAAATTGAAATTAGACTTGCGGTCCAAATTATATTATTTAAAGTACCAGTCCTAAATTGCAGAAAAAATACTATATCAATAGATTTAACTTCTGCCTTTTATTTTTACAGGACATCAACGATCCAGAAGATCTATGAAGAGATTAGAAACTCTGAATACGTCTTCTTCTATGTTTCATCTTATCTAGTAGTAGTATAAGAAAGTACTTTTGATGAAGTGAAATGATCACAATTGAATAACACTATATTTAGTATTTGCAACGTAGCCCTCCATTTTTACTATTTCTTTCTCTTTTGTTTTTT